GGATGATACAGTAGTTTGGATTAAGAGCCCACCAACAGCTCAAGCTTCTTGTGTCAGTAGTTTTAGTAGTGTCAGACTGATACTGTAGCTCCCTTCCAAATGCATGTGCAGCATATGCTTTGAAAGTGTTACTTATTTTATTTAGTTTCTATGTTATATAAAAAGATATATTTTGGGTTTGGGCTTATACGTTTCATATTCAGTAGTCATCATTATTCAATGCCCATATCACATTCAAGCCCCATTATGTAACTTCTCCCTGTGCGGCTGGCCCTGCACTGTAACTTTAGGGTCGGGACAAGTATGTGATGTTTTACGGCACGTAATCACACACCATCAACATCATCATGTCACTGATTGGTGAAACTGGATCACATTTTATGGAGAAAATGATTTTCTGCTATTTCCCTATGATGTCCTCTGGGTGACTGTCACGTTTTGGTTACCTTAGAACGAGTTTTATCTACAGGGGTCCTCTTCCACGGAGTCCACCATGTTAAACCGCCATGTTTCTACAGTAGCCCAGAACGGACAAACGAAGGCGAAGTTCAGACTTGGTTTGAGGTTTGAAGGTGGTTCGCAAAAACTAAATCTAGAGAAAATGTAACGTGTACAGAGGCTTCGGGTTTACACGGAAATCAGGATACCAGCAGGTTTATTTTTACATCCTGACTGATTTCATGGCTAGACTGAAAAAAACATAAAGTCTCTTGCTGGTTTCTTATTCTGCAGAAACGGTGTTTGGCTAGTTACTCAAAAAATAAAAATATTTACTACTCTTTCCAAAAGTAATTTGATTTCTTTACTTATTACTCCCAGCCAACAGTAATTACTACTAGTTATATTACTTTTCTGCTACTCCCCACAAAATTGGTTATTGTGTCCTTTCTCCCCAAAATTCAGATTTACGACGATTAAAATCCAGTTCTTTTTGTGTAAATCCAAGCAATGGGAATATTTGCTATATTTGGTGCTGAATGTTTCCATCTTCCAAACTAGTTTCCCCTACCATTACAAAAATGAATCCAAGGATGTGATATTGTAATATTATTACTGACATTTATTCAAACTAGTTACACTACTAGTTGCTGTGGAAAGCAATATTATTACTGTAATATTATTGTCACTAATGAGCTACTGCCCAACACTGGTGAAGGTGAAGACACAGGTGGGTATCATTGCGTCCTGCCCCAACCGTTAACTGTAAAGGAACCAGTGTGTGTTCATTGTGCTTTTTTAGATAGGAGCCCTCAGTGGAGTTTATTCAGGTCGGTGACCGTTAAAGAAAATAAAGGGAAATGTTGGCTTACCTGTGTCTTGTCTTTTTCTGCACACAGGTGTTCTGTAAGTTCTATCTGGACTCCTTTACTTCTGCTACTATCTGACAGTTCTGATTTAAAGATGCATTTTCCTTGCTTCATAACATGTACTCCTTTGTTGTCTGAGTAGTTTATGTCGTTGTTTTGAATCAATAGTGCCCAAGAGGGGCACTGACTTATGCAGGGGTGGCATGAAGTAAGAGCAACAGTTTCCCAGTCATTCCCAGTTTCTGCAATTACAATATGTTTTTAGGGATTCCAGTTTAGAGATATATACAAATACACTAGGCGATAATAATACATTTATACTGGAACAGACTGTTTTGTATTATTGCGGTAGTGGTACTGTGAGTTCCTGGTTGACTCCTGTGGAGAGAAAAAAATAAAGCCCATGTCCCGTTTATTATTTTATTATCAAACTGACTCAGTTAGGTGAACCCAAGATGCTCAGCTACATTGGTGGCAGCGGTGGGAAAAGCGGCATGGTTTTTGTCCAAAAACTGCGTGGCATTAGCATATGTCTGCAAAGACAGAAATTATTTTCATAGCTGATAAATAATAGTCAAAACTACTAAACTAAACCAGAATTTAAATTTATAGACCCACTGCTGTAATGCTCTGAGAATAGCTAAATCTACAGTACATTTTGAACCATATGGTGTAAGGAACATTTCATCCTCTTGGGGCCACTAGAGGGGCGTTAGACTTTTTAGGTTTTTTTACTTGACAGTGGCAAAGATTTTTACTCTTCAAATTCCAATTCCGGTGGCACCTGCCTCACTCTGCCCTACAGCTGCACCTGGCAACCCTGTGATCTGGCAGACCCAAGAGGCATTGAGGAACCGCTGTCTGTATATTTTTAAATCTGAGAGATTTTGTTACCCAGAAACTGTGTAATGTTACATCAGTAAACTGTATACCACAGGGAATAAAAGCAGGGGTGAAGATGGTCTATAAATCTGTTGGGAGCAGCTCCAGCCATTACTGCTTCTCTATAATTGGCATTTAAGACTGATAAGAAAAGCTTTAAATCCTGCTTTGTTGAGCTTTAAAGAGCTAAAAAAAAGAAAAAGAAAAAGCACAGATCTGCTTTAAATTAAGGCTGCAACTAATGATTACTAGCATTCTTTGTGTGAAGATTATTTTTCAAACAACATTTAAGATAGAGAAAATTGTAGAAAAGAGTGAAAAATGCAAAAGAAATAGCAAGTTCCCAGAGCCCAAGGTGACGCTTTCTGATCTGATCTGATTTCTCTGTCCGACAGCCCAAAACCCCAAAGTATTCAACTTGCAATGACATAATCCCAGTTCATTAGCAGGCTCTCTTAGAGTCAGCAGGTATAGAACATTTTAAAAGAACATGATATAAGACCAAATGTCCCCTTCCTGAACACATGGTTTGTCACTGTGTCACTCCCTTTTTATGTCAAGCGTGTTTAATCTGCTGGGATATGATGACAGACGTTTTCCTCCGATGCTATAGATAGAGCTCCAAGCCGTGCTGCCTATAAGATACATTGACTCCAACATGTCACGCTTGTGCGTCTAATTTCAGCTGAACATGCTGCAGCCGAGGTGATACTAACAAAATGTCAGCCGTGTTGGCCTCTTCTTTCTACAGCCTTTCAACCCCTCGGGAGGCTTTGAGACATGTAACCGACGCTTCTGACAGTCCTGTTTTCTTTGTCTTGTGCACAACATGTGACGAAATCCAATCTCCAGTCTATGGAAAGCCTCCGTAATTTACTCGGACAGCATATCCTCCCCTCCTACACCACACAATGACCCCTGCGGTTCAGTTTCTCAAGCTCTTAGCCCTCACCTGGACCCCCAGCGGCTTCGTATTCAGCTGCTGATGTTGGGATGTTTCCCTTTTGTACTCCACACCCACACCTCTACGTTTCAGCCCCTCTGTTTGTGCGTTGTTTGCTTTTTTGTATGAGCCTGTTTTTGCGCTTGTATAACCCAAATCCTCATGCCTCTCCCCTCATACAGCCTGTCTGGGAGTATTACGGGCTACAAGAAGAGGGAAATGTAATAACCGGCGAGCCCGGCTGGTGCAGTCAGCACGGCTCAGCCTCCAGAGAGGCCTGCCCATCACGGACAGCGGCAGCCATGACGGTGCAGATTACACCGCGCACTGCAACAAGCCTGACACACGGAGAAGTCACAGATTAGACTATTTCCACCATCCATTAATGCGGCTGCAAACCTCGGCTCCTGTTTCAGCCCGTACTGGAGTGAGTGCACAGCACTCTCTGGTGGCCAAACACTCACACAACCACTAACACTTGTTCTTTTCAGTTTTAATCTGATATTAAAACACATTACAAAGTCAGTATGCAAATACCCTCATTTGTTAAATTAAATTACTGGAAATGCACAAGTATTGAACAGGTCTTTGTTGATGTGAACTTCAGCCCAGAGCATAAATTAATTCATGTTTGCACTTTAAACAGAGAGGCCCATCTCATCAGCCTGGAAACTAATAAATATGACACTACTTTACAAGTGTAAAATACAGGCATACCAAGTTTGACATTAAGTATATATATATATGTTTTTTATATATTGACTTAAACAATCAGCCCAGTAGCTCACACTACCTATCATACTGAGATAAAGCAATAGATGGTCACATTAAAGAAAACAAATGGAGTTTGTGAATGAAATAAAGCAGTAAGAAACCACTGAGGGAATAAGTGCATAAGCAATGCATTTCCAGTGAGAGGAGTTCAGTCTGTTTCCATTTAACTATACACAGAAAAAAAAATAAACACCCTGCACCCGCCAGGGTGGCCACATTCTGAAGAAATGTTTAGGGAGCAGGCATTGTTGCAAACGTCTTCCTGTAATCCTGAAAGGACGACACACAGTGCAAAAACAATACAGCTTGGAGGCGACGCTACGACACGACAGAGTGCAATTAATCCCAGCCCCAAGTGACACCAACACTGTTACTGGTAATACGTCTGATCAACAGTAGAGGCAGCCTGCTGCTACTGAGTCAGTATGAGAGGGCGTGAACTGACGAACCATCAGCACCATTAAAGCCCTGCGTGCAGACTTAAGGGTTACAGTGCGTTCTCTTGTCCTCAGGTTGTTCGCGGAGGCCTGAAAGATAATTCCAGGTAATTACAAGTCAGGTATTTTTGTAGTTTTGGCCATAGTTTCTGTCAGGCTTTGATTCCACTCCATGTACGTTGAATGTTTAAATATAAAACCACACGCATTAGGCATTTTTATTCCACCCACCAACATGAGGAAACTGTCCAGCTCATTTAAACTCTCTCCCAGTCTTTCAACGTGGTAGCTAGTTGGTAGGAAAAGTAAAAGGAGCACAGCACCCTCAGGTCGATTAAGTAGATGAGTAAGTTGGGCCATTGCGTGAATATATCGGCTATTGCTTTTTTTGGCTGATTTCTGAGTGCAATGTTATTATCACAGCTAGAAACTATAGCCAACATTACAAATATCTGACCCAAGTTGTGATAAGCCGGAATTATCCTTTGAATACAAAACAAACAGAAATATACAGTATCCTCCATGTTGTGATGCCTCTTTGTTTCAATAAAAATCAACAAATGTTGAGAGGAGCATGTACACACACACACACA